TGCTGCTCGCAAACCTGGGATGCCGAACTTCTTGTGACACTGAAGAAGAAACAGGAGTCGTGCTGGACAGGAGACTGGGGGGGGGGATCAGTTCCAGCCCCCTCTCGTTCCTGCCACACTTCCACACACACACGCACCCACACAGACAGGGCTCTCCTCCAGCCACCCACAGCGGGCAAGGAGGCTGTTGAGACGGAGGAGTGGGAGTCCAGCCCTCGACTTGGCTTCAGGGGAGGAGGGAGCCGGGAGTGGCACTGGGCCAGGCCGTGGGGGGGGTGCTGGCAGGGGCTTAGTGCTGCACGACTGGGAGCAGTAGAGGCAGGACCGGATTTGGGGGGGGGGGGCAGAGGGCAGTGGCAGGCGGGAGGAGGGGCGTTCCTCCAAAGCGCTCCCGGGAGAGGGGCCCAGGGCCCAGGCGCGGCTCAGCCCGCTCTGCTTCTTGGGCTGGGCGGTCTGCCCTCCGTCTTCAGCCCGCAGCACAGCCTCTCCTTCCGCTTAAACCTGGGGGACGGGGTAAGAGGCACAGGCCGCCAGGCCGCACATGTTGCATCCCCGCTGGATATTGAAGTACCTGAAAGCAAAGGCCAACATTTGTGTCAGGGGCAGGGGCAGCATTGCGACCCTTCCCTACGAAGCGAGTCCTCCTCGCATTCCTAATCAGGAAAATGTGCTGGCCCCACCCCCTCTGGCCCCCACAATGTACTTACCTACTTCCTTTATGCCCCCATTCCCCCACCCCCGTGGAGACCCACGGCGCCTCACAACAGTCTCCCCTTCAGTCGAAGACGGAGGTCCTGTACCTGAGCCGGGGGTGCGGAGGGGGGGGGGGATGGATGTGGGTTTCAGGCTTCCCACTCGGGAAGGGAGACCTCTGGTGCCAGCCCAGGAGGTGAGAGGCCTGGGACTGCAATGTTCCCTCTAAGCTGTGGAGTCTTGTGAGCAAAAATTCTGCTTTGTGAGCTAGTGGCATTAAAGTTGTGAGCAAGCAATTTGGCTACTGCATAAATCAGTTTGCTCTGGAGCCCTCCTCCCTGAGCTGAGACAAAAATCTGTGAGCTGGAGGCTAAAAAACTGTGAGCTAACTCACACTAACTCAGCTTAGAGGGAACACTGCCTGGGAGTAACACTGGGCGCCTCTCTTCCTACGGAGGCCCAGAGGCTGCCGCAGTCGCCAGGTCGGCCTTTTCCCGTCGTGGGCAGATGAGGCCACTGAGACCCACCCTTTCTCCCCAGGACGTGGCTACAGCGACCCACGCAATGGTCACTTCCAGGCCACTTGATTACTGCAGTTCGCTCTACCCAGTCTTGTCCTTGAGGCTGACCCGGAAGTTGCAGCTAGTATAAGATGCGGCAGCACACCCGCTGACGGCAACGCCAGTGCGGGGTCCCGTTCCGGATTCACTTCAAGGTGTTGGTAATAACCTTCAAAGCCTTACACGGCCTGGTAACAACCTATCTGAGGGACCTCCTTCGCTACATTTGTTCTGCCACTTCGGACCAACATGGCTGACCACCTGGTTCTCTTCGGCACAAGGATTAGGCATTTACCGCGTACAGCTTTCTGAAACTAGGACTCGCCTCCCAAGCCATTCTTGCATCATTTAACACGTGCCGTGTTAAAACTCCTGCTTTGCTCCAGTTCTGTTTTTAGAGTTCTGTTGGGTCCCAGAGCCCTAATTCCTACGACACTGTTCACTGAATGCCCCATCTTGTTGGTCTTCTTGACCAGTGTTCCCTCTAAGCTGAATGAGTGTGAGCTAGCTCAGTTTTTTAGTCTCCAGCTCACAGGTTTTTGTCTCAGCTCGGGAAGGAGGGCTCCAGAGCAAACTAATTTATGCAGTAGCCGAATCACTCGCTCACAACTGTAATACCAGTACCTCACAGAGTAGAATTTTTGCTCACAGGGCTCCACAGCTTAGAGGGAGCATTGGTTTTGACTCACTCTGCGTCATCCGCCCAGAGCCGCCAAGAGCAAAGCGGCCGATAAAGAAGGCAGACAGACGGACAGACGTGAGCCACTAGGTGGTGCCAGAGCGCAACCCACCCACCGAGCCAGAGTCGCGGCCGGCGGAGAGAAGAGGCTGGGAGGCCTTACCCGTCTATGCCCCACACTGAGCCCCAGGAGTTCTTGACAATCCAGTAGGGAAGTCCATTCTCTTCCCCGTAGCCCACGGCCAGGACGGCGTGATTCACTTTGTCCGGAGTCTTCTGACAGCTTTTGCTGCGTGCAGAAAGCAGGAAAAGATTTCAGGTCCACCCTCCTTGGGTTAACCGCAGACGACACTACTCAGGCAACGCGTTTGAGTTCAGACAAACCACTGATCAAGGGGCAAGGTTTGCCAGCCACCCGGCATCTCGGGAGACTCACCTGGAGTAAACCCCCTTGGAGTACAACATGAAGTCCTCGGTCACGTCGAAGGCAAAGCTCACAGGATTGTAGGTCCCCACGGCTTCCACCATGCTGTCTTCATCGTTCTGGAAGGAAGCATCGCAGAGGTTAGCATGTGTGTGGAGTCCAATCCTCCCTCTAAGCTGTGGAGTCTACTTTGCGAGCTCCTGGCATCAGAGTTGTGAGCGGGTTCGCTGGCTGCTGCGTGAATTAGTTTGCTCCGGAGCCCTCCCTCCTGAGCCAAGACAAAAAGATGTGGGCGGGAGGTTGGAAAGCTGTGAGCTGGCTCACACTAACTCAACGCAGAGGGAACACTGGCGTGGACGCGAGGCCGAACTGCTTCGAACTGGACCCCGTTTCCTGCGAGAAGACAGCGGCGGTCAGCATGGGCAGAACTGGACTCCTTCCCGGGTGGGCAGCTGACTCAACTCAAGTCCCTCTCCCTTCCTCCAGCCAGAAAGCTCCACAGCTCTGCCTTCCGGTGGGAAGTGCGCGGTGCCTTTCTCGGACTGCCAAGGAGAGCGGGACCAGCAGGGAAGCAGCAGGGCTGGCCTCAGGCCAGGAGGAGGGAGGGAGCCCCGAGCAGGGCCGAGGCGGAAGGCCTGGGGGCCCGGCAGAGCAAGAGCCCAAGGCTGCTGCGGGGAGCCTGGGGGGGCCCAGGGAATAGTCTGGGGAGCGGCTCGATGTCCACAGGCAGGAGAACGCCCTGGGGAGGCAGAGGCGAAGAGGAGGAGGAGGAGGAGGCACTCACCAGTGTAATGTTGACAACGTCCTTCACGAAGGCAACGGCCTCCTTGGCCTGGAATTTGCAGGTGCCATTCTGCGGGGGGGGGGGACACACGAGGCAAGGCTGTTAGAGCCAGCTGCACCAGACGCCCAGCGGGCCCCTCGCCCACCCTCAGAGAAGCCCTACCCTGGCGTGGTACGGGTACGTGTCCTCGCCCATGAGCCCGTGGTTGTATCGGATGTACTCAAAAGCTTGGCTGGGGAGGCCCCTGGAGAGGAAGAAGAAGAGGAGGAGATTGGATTTATACCCCTGGCCGTCCACTACCCAAAAGAGTCTCAGAGCGGCTGACAGACTCCTTTCCCTTCCCCTCCCCACAACAGACACCCTGTGAGGTAGGTGGGGCTGAGAGAGCTCTTGACAGAAACTGATCTTTTTTCAAGGACAGCTCTGATCAGAACTACGGCTTGCCCAAGGTCATCCAGCCAGGTGCAAGTGGAGGAGGAGTGGGGAATCAACACCGGTTCTCCCAGATCAGAGTCCGCGCACTTCACCACGACACCAAACAAAGAGGCGAAACAGCAAAAGGCTTCACGCGGAGAATTCCAACGACGCCAAGTGTGGGGGGGCATCATCAACGGAGGGTGGGGCCGAGGAGAGCGGAGGGGGGGCCCCCAGACCGCCACGCCGGAGGGCACTACTCACCCACTGCAGCCGTGGTTGTTGAAGGCCTGGGCACAGTCGACCAGCTGCTGCTCCGACTGGTGGGAGGGAGGGAGGGAGAAGACACACTGGGGCAGGAAACCCACCAAGGAGCCCCCTGCCCGTCTGACTTGCTCTCCTCTCAGACCCAGCGGACACTCGGCCGAGCGGGCTTACGGCCTTTCTTCCCCACTCCTCTGCTTCCAACAGATTCAGCCTGAAGACCACCCCCGCCCCACCAGTCCCTGCCAGTCCTGTAACTGGTCTGCCCAGAGATGGGGACTCCCAAGCAAGGCTCCCTCTAAGCTGCGGAGAGCCTCGTGAGCGAAAACTCCACTTTGTGAGCGACCGGCACTAAAGCTGTGAGCGCGCGATTTGGCTGCTGCACGGATTAGTTTGCTCTGGAGCCCCATCCTCCCTGAGCCAAGCCAAAAATGTGTGAGCTGGAGGCTCAAAAATTGTGAATTGGCTCACACGAACTCAGCTTAGAGGGAACACTGCTCCAGGGGTGATGAGACGGGGGCGGGGGGGGGCTTGTTTCTTCCAACTCGCTCACTAGGCAGCTTGCCCAGACCTGGAGAAAGAGGGGAAGTCTCTCCCTTCCGAAACCTGCACTCAGTTCCTTTTCCAATCCGTCATTGCTTGTTCTCTTTTGGAGACCTGCCATGTGTGGTGACAAATCAAAGGCTCCTGGAAAGCCCCCAACTTTCTCCACTGCAGGAAGTCCTTGTAGCAAAGACTTGCGCGAGACTGACAAGCCCCGGCACACAGATTGTGTCCCCCACCCCACTCCCCCACTCTGGTCTCTCCCCCCCTGCCCCACCTGGGCACGAAGCTGTTCAGCGCCAGCAAGGGCCGGATTCCACGGGGAGGGGGCTTACCAGGTCCGGCAGCTTCCCCGTGGCGATGGCGATGGCCGACTCCAGGCACCCCGTGGTTGAAAACGTCCAGCAGCTCCCGCAGGGACCCTGGGTGGGGGGGAGGAGGGAGAGGGGATGCAGGGGGCTCTCCTCGGAAATGCCGGGTGGGGCAGCGACGAGGCTTTGCTCCGTGTGCCTCTGAGGACCCTGCGGGGGCCACACGACTCAGCGGTCACCACATCTGCAAAGGATGCCTCGGGTCCCAGAAAGGTCACTTGGGTGGCTTTTTAACTTCTTCCTGACAAAGATGTGCGTCCCCATAAAGTGTCGCTGCTCCAAGGTCCAGACCGGAGAGCAGTAAGGCCGGTCCTTCCAAGAGGCCAAAAGAACTGCCAGGGTTGCTTGAGGGGCAGGCCCCACAACGCCCCCCACGTAGGTCTGCCGTATTTGGACTTGCTGGTCAGTGGTCTGGATCTGTCAAGACCTCCGAGCCGTGGGGGGCCCTTCCCTCCAGGAGCGTTACCTGGTTCTTGACCGGCGTCACATAGTTCCCCTTCTTCCTCCAGTCCATAGCCGGTGGGTGCCACCCGGCAGTGCCCTTGAAGTTGCCTTCCGTGGCTGAGCAGTTCTGCAAGTGGAGGAGGAGGAGGAGGAGATTGGATTTATACCCTAACCATTCACTACCCGAAGGAGTCTCAGAGCGGCTTACAATCCCTTTCCCTTCCCCTCCCCACAACAGACACCCTGGGAGGCAGGTGGGGCTGAGAGAGCTCTCTCGAGAACTGCTCACGAGAGAACAGCTCTGAGAGAACTTGTGACTGGCCCAAGGTCACACCAGTAGCTGCACGTGGAGGAGGAGTGGGGACTCAAACCCGGTTCTCCCCGATTAGAGTCCATGCTCTTAACCACTACACCAAACTGGCTCTCATGTGACAACTGAGCCTTTCAAAAAGCCAGCAGCGGCACCAGAGGAAGGCAAATGTGAGGGCCTCAAACCAGGGAAGGGCCCGGTCAGTCTGGCTTTAGGAGCCTGAGCTATGCTGGGGCAACGGAGGTCGCTACAGTCCTGGGTTCAAATCTTGCCACTGATGAGCTGCTGTCTTGAGGGCTGCCATCCAAGGATTGCCAGGGTCCGACATACCTAAGGGACCGCCTTTCCCCGTACATACTCCAAGGAGCACTTCGGTCCGAGGCACAACACCGCCTGGTGACTCCAGGCCCCAGGGAGGTCCAGCAACCAGGGTCAGGGCCCATTCGGTGGTGGCTCCTACCTGGTGGAATGAGCTCCCGGAGGAGATCATGGCCCTGCGGGACTTGGCACAGTTCCGCAGGCCCTGCAAGACGGAGCTCTTCCACCAGGCTTTCGCTTTGGAGCAGTGCTCCCTCTAAGCTGTGGAGTCTTGTGAGCAAAAATCCTACTTTGTGAGCTACTGGCATTAAAGTTGTGAGCGAGTGATTTGGCTGCTGCATAAATTAGTTGGCTCTGGAGCCCCATCCTTCCTGAGGTAAGACAGAAACGTGTGAGCTGGAGGCTAAAAAACTGTGAGCTAGCTCACACTAACTCAGCTTAGAGAGAGCACTGCTTAGGAGCTGCCACTGCCGCTTCCACCAACGATCCCTTAAACAACTGGGAACGGAACGGCCCTGGAAGATCATACTGCAGCGGCGCGGTGGATCAGTACGGTTGTTCTGGGATACAGACAATGTCATCTGAACATTATCAGCCAAATACCATCTTTTTGATTAGTGTAACATCTTAGAGCACTTGTTAGTGATCTTGTTTTTTGTGTTTTTTTGTGTTTTATTCTGTCTATTTATTGGCACAAAGTGCCCTATCTATAAGCCGCCCTGAGCCCTTTGTGGGGAGGGCGGGGTATAAATTTAATAATAAATAAATAAAGGATCCTTAATATTGCTCTGCCTTACAGGGCTGTACTCGAAGGGGGTTTTTTCCCCCTCTTTTGCAGAAAATTTGGTAGCACCGGACCCAAAGTAAAATTTTAACAGAACACTAAAAAACCAACAGCAACAGTAGTCTCTATGAAATCTTTTCAGTTCAGCAAGCTAATTACATTTTCTTCTATGGTCATTTTAACACACACACACAAACCTTTTGCAAATGCAGCGACTGGGCCTGGTTTTTTGTTTTCCGAAGGAGGATAAGAAGGGCGCGTGAGTGCCGGGTTCCCACTGGAAAAGGCCGTCTTGGCACCCATTTGGGGTGGGAAAAGGGTCCCTGTAAGCTTTCCCCACTGGGAATCAAAGCCGTTTAGGGGCAACTTTTCCAGCAAGAAAACTTCCAGCAAGAAAAGTGAGGGGCCTCCCCACGCCTTTTCTTTCTCCAGGAGCAAAAGGAGCCCCCCCCATCGTAGCTGCTTTTGGAGAAGAAGGTAAACTCATTTCAAATGAGCACAGAAGGCCGCAGATGGTCATTTGATCCCCCGCAGCAATAAAAAGAGCCCAGCAAATGAAAAACCAACCAATTATAAAATCTACACAGCAGCAGCAAAAGGGAAAAAAGAAAAACTCCTCTTTTTCTTTTTTTTCAAAAATGCCCCCCCCAGTCAGTGGCTTGGATAAGGGAACCAACAGCCTTTTCCGGGGGGGGGGGGACCGTCG